TACATATTCCTTTTCAGTCAACAATCTAGATGATGCTGGAAGTTTCAAACATCTCATCTTTAACTTAAAGTGCTTAAACAAGTCACATGAAAAGAATATTTCTAGAGAAGAGCCATACCTGATTCCTTGAAAATCAGAAGTTGCATACTGTACCCTATTTCCTTTTACAGTGTCTTCTATGAACGTTAGAAATACAGCAATTCATTTGATTTAATGTTCAAAAGAGAGTAAATATAAAATCTTACTAAATGTCGACATGAAATTCTAACAAACTGGTAAGAAATGTTAGTTTGGAAGAAGAGTTACACACACTGATCATTAAGGCTTTCTTCAGGTGCATTACATTTGCTTTCTTTAAACTGTATCTTTGTTTTTAAAGTCACTGAAAACAGGTGACTTCTAAGAAGGTCTAGCACTTTTTCATTGATTTTCCTTTGACTCATCTTCAAATAGGAAGTTTCTTTGAAAACAAGCAATCATTTTGTGCTATAAACCATTCATAAGAAACAGATTATGGTACTTTACTTCCAGAAGTCCGTACAGATTACATGAAATCTATTCCTAGCCTGTCACAGCAGTTTTATACGCTCTACCACAATATAGGATTTGACCATCTAAGCAAGTAAATTGTAGGCAATATACATACTTCAGAAATAAAAAAATAAGTATAAGTGAAGGCTCCTAAATATAACTGCAGTCCATCCACTAGAAACCTCAAAAATCACTCTTAGAATCTAACTTCAGATGCCTTATAAATGCAGATATTCCATAAAAGCAGGAACGAGCAGAGAAACTACACCAAAATGGGCCACCAAATTTCACTATTTCTTTTACACCATTGAATGCACAATCAGAAACAGGAATATCACAGGAAAAAAACTAATAAAATAAATGCCATTTCATGTTCTTTAAAGCAGATGTTGCCTAACTGTTCAGGTTTGGTTTGGTTTTTCATAGGAGGCTGAAGCTACATTAAGTATTGCATACGATTGGAGCAATCTGTCTACAGATACCACTTAGCTCCAGTATCAGTTATCCCTGGCAAGCACACAGCCTAAAGAGGAACATCAGTCTGAAGTTCATTTACAGCCTTGTGGACCAACTGCCTATCCACATCAAGTGCTAAAGCTTATACTGTTTGCCATACTTGCTACCCCAATTCTCTCCAGCAGATGTGCTATGTATATCCTTATTCGGGCAAAACTAAAACAATATGATTTGCTTTCTTGAAAAGGTGGTAACCAAATAAAACTGAGGTCTTTTGGTGATTAATGCTGGTTTTTATTTGTTTGAAGCATGAATATATTCAGCTAACATTTATTCCTATTATCATGCCTAGCTCACGCTCTCTTCTTTGGAATAATGAACTCAATTTTGAATTGAGATTACAGAAAAGTGAGCTAAGTACACCTTCCAAGAGGATCATCATCTGCCAGAATAACAATGGCTTTGAAGCATTCTTTTGAATGTTTGAGCACAGGTTTAATTATCTCCAGAAAAATGTAAAGCAAATTTCTGATCAAAATGTGGACCTGCTGGTATCATGCACTGCTAGAAATTTTTGATACCAAAAGGCATAACCTTCATAATGGTATTTAATAATAAAATACCATTTAGAAGTACACTAACTTTCAATCTTACTAGCAAGTAATTTGCATTAAAAGGAAGAGTCCTTAGATCCAAATTGTCACATTTTTCATGGTATCACTGACCTTTAAAGCACAGGATTTTGCAAAAAAAAATCTTTTGACAACAGAAGCTGAAGTCTGCGAGATGCTGGCATGTTAATACACAGGAAATTTTAATAGGATGAGCAGAGAATGGACTATTAGGCTTTAAAAAGAGGATACCACCGAGCTTCCAATCACAAGCACCATTACCTTTAGCTTTTTAAACTTACCAGCAGAAAAATAGCATTTCACCAACTAGACAATTTCTTTTTTAAGCAACAGCTTAGATTCAGATAGCCCTAAAGGAAAGCTATATAACATTTATGATGCGTGAAAAGTTCCTCCCCAACAGCAGATAAGATCCACTCAGAAAAGCAATATAGCACAGAAAATTATAGTGATGTCAAGTTTAGTTTCAGCTACTTTTAGGCTAGCAGCCTAAAATACAAACACACATAAGCTACAAATCTGACAGAAGAGCATTTCCAATTCTATCAACCAGCTCAATGTAACAGTACACTGATATTCAAAAATAATATTTTGTATATAATATACTGATATTTCAGATGATCACAGGTTTGACACAGTGAAATAGAAAATATCAGAAGCGGAATACTAAGAGTGCAGCAGAAAAAGGTAGTAAGAAAGTATAACATATATTCCACAGCAACCTCTTCTGCTGCAATCCCATCGATTTAATCAACACCAGTATTTTCTATTTATATCTTGCATCAGTCCAGCTTTTGGTATCATTTACGTCATTGTACAATTTGCTTCTATTTTTAATCTTGTTACTAAGAGGAGTTTGCACCATTTAAATTATGCACATTATGTTGCCAAATTTCCTTATGTTTTTCAATCCCATACTGTTCTGAATACACTCATGCTTATTGTTAATCCATCTTCCTTTCTGTGGATATGAATACTTACACCAGCACGCATCACTACACCTTCAATGACTTCAATGCATTAGATATTACAGCAAGACAAATGCTCAGCCATACTGCAGTCATACCTTCATATTGCTTTGTAGAAATATTCATAATTAACACAGCAGCTAGTGCTAGGATCTAGAACAAGGGTGCTGACAAAATTATTTTGCATTCAGGTGCAATGTGAAATTTGAAATTTCCCTCTGAAGTTTTGCAACAAAGGGCTGTAAACAGGTCTTTCGCACATGGACAAAGAACACTATCAATCTACATTTACTAACTGTAATTAAAATGATTAATGAGTGCTGAAGGCTGCTTCTCTTGCAACTCTAACATTTACAGAGTTGCAGACATAAAGGGCATGAACTTTGGTGCAATTCTGTACACTTGGTGCAATTAAGCGGAGTTCTGAGAGTGAAGTGGTCCAAATACTTGCTATGGAATGAGAAATTGCCAAAACTCAGTCTTAGGAGTTAGGTCACAATCCAGGACAAGCAGTATGTAGGTAGTGCAGCTCTACATCAATGAACAGTGAGAGGCAGTCATGTTAAAACATATTTCCTGTGAACTGCCTGGTGTCTGCAAGCCACCATGACTGTGCTGCTCTGAGAGCTGGAGTAAAGACACCGTACAGCCCAGAAACACAGACTGCATCTACAGACACTTTGCAATTCAGAGCCCATCCTATTTCCTTTCACATCCTAGAATAGTCACTGCAAGGACAGTGGCGTCGTCAGCAGTAATGTGAACTGCACTTTATGATACAGAGAAAATACACTGGACATTTAGTTTCGGCATAGAAAATTATGAAAAACAAGTGATACTTCTGAACTTGATGTTGGATAGCTATTCATTATTTACTGAGCGTACCTACAAAGTGTACTAAGTAGAAAGTATAATTTAAAATGAATAGTTAAGGGTCTTATAAAATTCTAGGTACAACAAAAGAAAGCTCAACATTACTGATCACCCCTATTTGATGACACAAACAGAAGTATAAACCTAAGAAAAAACTAGATTAAGGACTAGCACTGAAAAGCAAGTGATACGCAGCTCCTTTCACCCATACAACCATGAAAATGATTTCAGAAACCTGAAACAATAACAATAAAATAATAATAAACATAACAATGCTTGCTAACTCATTCTGCTTACAAAGAACAGGTTGGATAAGAGTTTTTCAAAGTCTAGTAGAATTTCTAGAAATCACCTAAATTTCTATTCAACACATCCTCACAGGCACCCTCCCAAAATACATAAATATACATGTACTTTTTTGGCACTTAAACTTCAAAATACCAATGCTAGGTGAAGTTTCATATTTTACCATGTTTCCCTCTTGTTGTTACCTATAAGCAGTACTTATCCCAGATTAAGTCTATTTATGAAACACTGAAGTGTTGCTCATTTTGAATGCTCATCAGAAGAGCTCAGATGTGTACATGTATGTATACAAAATATCATATATGTCATTGCCAAAGAGGTTACATTAAATAAAAAAAGGGGTGATCTTGTAACAGATTTAAGATGATACAACGAAAAAAAATCACTGCAAAGAGAAAACTCAAATATTTAAACCAAAAAATGGAAATTCAAATTCAATTCAGAATCACATTTATGAACAACTTCTACCCTGAATATCAACTGAATTTCAAGAATGATGCAATAGGAAGGATAATTCATGTGCACTGCATACATTATTCACATTTTGTATTCATCAGGAGCAGACTTACATTACAGGACACTTACCTGACAAGTTCATGAACAAACAGGCTTGAAAAAATAAACAAGAGTCTGGAAATTATTAGTGAGGAAACTATTGGGCAGGACCCAGCTTCCAAACTATCCCAGATTTCTTTTTTCTTAACATATCTGTTTTGCCACATTCCAGAGGTGCAAAAACATCACCAATTTTTTCCTGATCGCTTATCATAAGTGGCACATTCTATTTTCAGATGGAAATGCAGCACGTTACTATGAAAATCATATCACTGACATATAATGTTGAAAGAAATTCTAAAAGAGAACAGTGGTAGTTTGCCTTACCATAACCAAACTCTGGTTTGATTCTGGTAAATAAAACACAAGTTGCTCATTATTTGTTGCTTGGGTTGGACAAATACATAGCTTTATTTAAGAATCAAGCTCATCCCATTTTTCAGAATTTTATTTGGATAAAAAAAAACAAAAAAATGGAATTTTTACCTTATAAAAGGAAGGTTTTTATACAAATAGTCTGTGAGAACCATATACACGCCTACATTTAGTAGATTCTTTGAATTAATAGATGGTTCACTGTCAACAGCTACAAATATTCCTTGTTTAGCTTGCTATTTTGACATGATTGGAGATATGATATACATCTGTTAATGTATGTATACATAAAAATTATTCTTACCAAGATGACTTGGAAAAGAGGTGGAAAAAGATGGTTTTCTTCCAGAAGGCTGTAAAAACACATTTAAAGATTCATTTTAGAAGAGAGGAAGTGAATTCTTATTTAATATACTAAACACATAGAAGGAGCAGAATAGTAGAATAAGTGTTGCCAAAATCTATGACCCCAAACCTCAGTCTTTGATTAGCTTCCAAGAAAAATGAGCTGCCTTTCAGCTATTAAATAGAAACAGCAACATAATGCTGCTTTGGAAATTACTTCTAGATCTGCTTCATTGATGCAATTCAAGTGAGTGGTACAGTAAGTAAATTAGTATTTTTAAAAGGCAAAAAATAATCAAAATTCAGAATTCTGTACAGACTAGAAAACAGTCACTGTGCATCATCAACTAATTTGAATCAAGAAATTCACAGCAAACAATGTGAAATTATAAACAAGCTCTGCATTGGTTTTTGAAGCACGCTACATTAACTAACTTGTTGGGTTTAACATGTATTAATATATGACACACTTGCAACTACTTCCCTTCAAAGAATTGAGAAGTGGTTACCCAAAATAATTTAATTCTATTTTCCTGAATTTCAAAATCTGTTCAGAAGAAAGCAGAATACTCCCCTCAAAAAATTAAAAAAATCATTCCAAAAGCTTTGTCTATGAATAAAACACACATCTCTGTCACAAACATCATGATGACAAGAGAATTATAGTAGGTCACTATGAAAGTAACACTTCCTACTTATCTCCGTGGAAACTACAACAGATACAAAGAATACAATAACACTATTTGACAGCGCAAGCTCTCATCTACAAAACACTATTTTTCAATACAGCCACCACCATCAGCTACACATTTATGCCAGCAATGAGCCTGCATGCCTCACTCGTAGAAGTCTGCACCAGTGGAGATGACTTCAGTGCCTGTTGCCACTGCTGGAAAGCACCACCACTGCCTCGCTGTGCTGTCATCCACTGTTTGCTATCCAGAAACGTTCAGTAAGCATTGGTGAATGTCAATGGGGCACTGATTACCGTGTGGAGGAACTCAATGACACACCTTTGCTAAACGCGCACTTCCATGGCAGATGCTATTGAGTCAGACTGACCCTCTGCTGCCATCTCTCACATAGTAATTATACCCCTAACAAAACTTTTCATTTCATTTGAATTTTATATTTAAGTAAAAAGTGAGGGCAACAACAACAAAACCAGTGGGTTGAACTCGTATGTTTTATGAAAAAAGTGATACAGGCAAAATGATCCCTGACAAGTAGAAACTTCATAACACATCTCAGGATGCAGCTGTATAATTTTAAAAAGAAATGAGCAGGGATTACATGGAAAGCAAACCAGTTCATTCAGTTCACTGTTACGTGCCCTTCCACAACAAGCTAGGACTTTTGAGATTCTGCCTGTTAGAAAACAAAATTGGTGGTTCTCAAAAAATTACTAGTAGAGTTAATTTTAAACTGTGAATATTTAAATAGAAAATGAATTTCTGTAAGTTTGTCAAGTGACAACAACTTCATTCCAGTAGTTGTTGAAGTCACCATTCTTTAGGCCAAAGTCCTAGGTAACAGCCTACAGTATTCTCAAATGACACTGATGCCAAAGGACAAAAAAAACCCCAAACATTTGAATGTTAAGGAAAAAGGAAATACTTTTGTCCCCTCAAATTGACCAAAGTATGAGAACATAGCAAAAGGAATATTTGTTAAAGCCCATGGACGATATCTACTGGTACATTAAAAAAAGTTGGTCTAAAGATCTTGTCCAGCTCAGAATTTGGTATAAAATGACTATCAATAAATAATAAATAAAGCTAATTAACCTCATTGCTATCAGCTGGGAAAAAAAGGGAGGTGGAGCATGGCTGTCCTTAAATGTTAGAAAGTCCTCCTAACAAAATAACCTCTCCATCCAAGTCCATCGGAAGCTTAAATTAGAGCAGTATTCAGATAGATTTATTTATCCTTTTTTAGTGAATCCCACTGAATAAAAACCCAGCATTGAAACGGAAAGGTTCAAAGTCATCTCACTGCCATACTTTCATGTCATGCCTTTCAGAGGCTGTCCAAAGGCAAAGAATGATCTCACAATTGATTTTTAAGAAATATTATACTAAGGCACAACCCACAATAGTCTACCATAGAATACAACAGGGAGATCATCTATCAGGGCTCCCAATTATTTCAGAGTCAATTTTCTTAACAATGTTATTCTTCACTTCCAGTTCCTAACCCTTCTCAGTAATTCTAGTTTACATTTCAAATGACCCAGGGGGCAAGGAGGAAAAAAAGCATGAAAAGAGTGTGCAGGTAGAAAATTATCTTGGATGTCAGATAATTGGATTTTTTTTTTTTTAAATGCTTCATTTTTTGCAGTAGATAGAAACTGAAAATAAACACAACAATGAAGATCTCACTGTAAAAATCAATGTATCACCATTATATGATGGTATTTTAAGAACTTTCAAAGGTATATGATTAGTACTAAAACAGGAAAGGCTGACTGATACTCATAAGTATAACAAAACAAGATTTGAGAATTAAAGTAAAAGTACACCTTAACTGTAAAAAAAAAAAAATTGAAGTAGGATATTTCTTTCAAATATCTTAGCCACAGCTGTCAAAGTACATGAAATTCAAGGATAACACTTTAAGAAATAGAACACGATGACTTGCACTAGAAGTACTGATTCACAGCAGTTTTTTGTTTTGTTTTGGTTTTGTTTTGTTTTTTTTAATTGCATATTAGCAGTAAAATCATTAGTAGCTTTCAGTCATTGTGTGGTGAAAGAGCTTACTTTCAGTCCCAGCACAGGCTCAAAAAACTGTCTGTGGCACACAGATATTGGAAGGGCATCACTGCAATGCCAGTCAGTTTTCCAGCAGTCTGAGTCAGCTTATGGAGGGAGAACAGAGTTCTTATTTTAAATTCCTGATCAGTTTCCAGCTTCAAAATCCATACTTTCATAGAGATGTCTTTCAATAGGTTTTCAACCACAGCATGTTGTCTTTTGGTGCTTTCCCATTATGTTCTATAGTTTTACCTCTGCCTATTTACAAGCAGTACAAAATAACCTAACCAATAATATTAAAATAAGCCCCATTTTTAAAATATAATTTTTGAAATCATAATAAAATGATTCCCACACAGGGAAACAGTAACTGTAATAAAGCAAGAAAGTGTATTAAAATTAAAAAGTGAAGAGCCTGAGTTATCAGCTTCATCTATTACAAACCTATAGCAAGGTATAAAATAAACAAACCAAGCCACAAGCAGTTTTGCTGAGAGCTCATGATATCAAAATGAAAAGCAATGTGGACTTAAGAACAATACAGAGAGCAATAATTCTGTGGAAAATAAATGCAAACCTTACTTGAAGAAAAAAAAAAAAAACAACAACAAAACACGATTTCACCACCATTCTGTTTGAATGTCCACAAAATTTTCATAAAGTTACAAATTACAGTGAATTTTGATTGTAGTCAAGTGATAGGTTTATTTATTTATTTCAAAACTCTACTTATGTCCTGAATTCTTGAAGTTCAGGAATTACACAAATGAAAAATATCAATTACAATACCTTAGAAAGTGATTTTAAGGAGTATTACAACTCATGAAATTCTTCAGCATAAGGATGCAAATCAATAATCACCACAAATTGAACTGCTGAAAGTTTAATAAATCTTATTTTCTTCAAGAATCCTAAAATGTTTTAGGAGAGGTTTTTTTGCTGTTTAATCTTGAAGATGAGTATTTCCTGAAGGTTCTGTCACATTGTGATTGCATATTTTGTCAATGGAGTATTAACACCTTACAAACAAATACAAGCAATGGCTATTTAAACATTAAGAGAAAGTTCACTTCTTCTACATTAGAAGACGTAAAAGAAGACTAATTTTATTCAACAAGAATATAAGAAAAACCACTGTCCTCGAGTTTAAAGAGTTTGAAGGCAATGAAGCAGAACGATACCCCCTTCTATGGGGTTCTATGTTTTAACATTACACTGAGAAAAAAAATCATTGATTGTTACAAACAATTTTCAGATTTTTCATTCAGATAACATATATCCTGATGTTTTACAGAATTATATTATATATAATAAATCAACAGCAGGTTAGACAAGCTATTTCAACCACATGTAGATATTTATACACATTTCCAAAGCCCTTTTTAAAAAAAATAAAATAGTTCTTTATACATTTATGCACCTCAATTCTGAAATTTCAGCCCAAAATATAAACAATTCCTTAAACCTAAAATTAAAGTGTACAAAAGAAATTTAATTGGTTTGATATATGAAAAGAACCTCCTCGGACAATTCTACAACACCTTTTCGTCCTATTTGAAAAACACAATGGTACATTAAACAATTATTCTCTTGCTTCTGGCCTTCTACATCTAAACATTCATACCAGTAGAGATATTTGTTCAAATAAAGATAGCAAGACTGAATTATGCCACAGTATAAACAAACTAAACTCAAGGGAAATATTTATTATTTTTGTTCCTAAGAAATTATAAATGCAATATATAATATTGCGACATACAATGCATTTATAACTTCTTAGGAATAAAAACAGGAATGAAGATGAGAAAATCTGTAAGCTCTAAATGTAAACATGCCCTCCCCTAAAATACCAAGCAAAAATTTCAATGCACTAAGTTCAAAAAATAAAGTACGTTTATGTCTTCAATGTAATTCTTTTGAGACTCCTTTCTCTTACATCTCCGGCAGAACATGACATGCAAAAAGCAAGGAGGCAGAAAAAGGACATTATAGAGAGTTGTTTGGATTTGTTTTAGAATATGGTCTATAGTAATTTAAGACTTTTAACATACTTCCCATACACATGCAGACAAAATCCTGAATTTGAAACAACAACAAGAAGATTGACTGGGAAGAAATGGAAGAGGGTGGGTGAGATAAAAGCAGAGGTCATACCTCACACAGCAGAGATCACTTCTGCAGGCAGCTGAACAACATTGATTTCAAGCATTTTCAATTCCTATGAAATGTCATTCTAGTACAAAACATTGATG